TTGAATGTAGAAAAGAGAATAAAAAAGTTTTAAAAAATCAGATAAGTTAATTAGAAATAAAATTCATAAGATATTTTAAGAAATCAATGTAATATTGAATTTAAAAAAGTTGACCTAATCGACTTGATGAAACTACAGTTAACTCAATATTACAGTACAAATGTATTAATAGAGTATTTTTGGGAAAAATTGGAAATACGTTTTAAAATATCTCGATTTCATACTTTTAATGAAAAGTCGTTTGTTTTGTTGTCATTTGAAAAAGCTTTTAATCTTAACTCAAGAATTATATTTTATTTTAGGTAAATATGTCGTTAATATTGAATAACTTGTTAATGTGTGCACGAAATTTCATTAAGATAACGTACATTCGGAAAAACTTATCAGTAGTAATTTAATTTTAAATACATTAACAAGAAATATTGAATAATTTTCATAATTCCGACATAAGAAAATAAAATAATTACAATTTGTTTTTACGTGAATATAAGATGAAAATTTATGAATACGAACACTGGCCAAACAAAGTATATTTAAGGGCGAAAAACATTGTCACGTGGCATGACGTAAAGGGAGTAATCTTATATAAAATTATTGTTAATTTGGGTGGAGACTAAAAATAAATACAAAACACTAGTTACATCAGTTTTTATGTGCTGACGATGGTTTTTAATGTAAGTATATTTTTCATAATTTTGAACTCATGTAACTTGTGTTTTTTCGAAGATTTCGACACATATAAATATATGTATACATAAACCTATTGAGCAGTCGGGCTGCCGGGCTACGTCATCCTAAAGTCCCACAGTTTTTTTACACACTTGCATATAGGCATCACCTTCGATGTACTCTCGACCGCCATACACACGACTTTTCTCTGTAACTGTGGGATGTACGTACATACGAATGTTGGTCACCGCAGGGTATAGGTAGGTAGGATATGGATTTTGTGTCTGGGATATTTATACCCACGAGCCTGATGCCCTAGGTACTTGCTGTTTATTAACCTTTAAATGGGTTCGACTAGTATTGGTAGGTAAATTCTGGAATGAAACGCTCATACACTTTGAAAATTGACACTTTGATTCCCGATACAGGAAGAAAACAGCTATTTTTGGTTTACGTGTTTCTGGACTTGTGTAGATATACACGTGCATATGTGTGTGCGCACACTTATGCTATGATAAACTTGGTGACGAGGCTTTGACTAATTGTGGCACATGGCCTTGCGGATTGCATACAATAAATATTATACTTACCCACACGCAGTTATTCTTACCATGCAACGGGTGTACATAAACTGATGAATCACATATATGTATGTCCATTTAAAAATCGTGGCCTTCGTTGTAAAAAATTACTGATTATGTATAAAAATTTCGGAACCTCCAGTCTATATTCGTATATAAATACATGTCAACAGTTTTAGATTTACATGGGTGAATCATCGACAATGTAAATATATTCATGCGACTACGAGGCGAATAAAACAAAGAGAGATAATTTCCCACGTCATATTTGGATTTTTCTGAAAAGAAAAAATAACTGAATGCCAAGTTTTTCGCTTTCCACGAAGATTTTATCAAAATCACCCACGAGGTGGGTTTGTAACTATATGTATACTTTTATATATGTGTCTCTCTTAACATAAATGTATGTTTTGATAGGTTTTTTTAGTTAAACTCACAACTTTTTACTACAAAACTCAATCCAGATTCAAAATCTTTATTTTTCGACCTTTTGACCGTCCAGACTTGATTTTTTTTGGAAATTTTTATGGTTTACGCAGATTTACAAAACCAAATAATTAAAAAAATGTTTTTAAAACATTATTTTTAAAAGAAATAAATCATCCATGATTCATCAATGGGATAGCGAAGAAGAGTGTGGTGGGTGCAGCTGTTTTGGTTTGCAGACGTGCAAGTTGGTGGTATAGAGAAACAATGGAAGAAAGAAGGAATAAAACACAGGGGCTAACAAACGACTCGGCAAAACCGTCGCAGCAGCACGCAAGTGGAAAAAACACAAGTGGGAACGATGATGACGAGCCTCTCGAAATTTCAACTTCTTTCGTATCATCATTTTTACGCAGCATGGGTATGGTATATGCTTGAAAAATCGTACTGGGAACAAGATATAAATAGTTGATACCGCAAAATTCCGAAAGGAGAAAAACAATTTTTTTTTATCCGATTACCGATTACACGTATTTGAGCAAAAAGACGTTCTACTGTCTGACATTCCCTCCTTCTTTCTTGAGACTATACTAAGATTCAAACGCAGACGCTTTCTTTGTATGCATACGTGTTCTCTAACAATCTTTCCCGGTGTCCACGATTTAGGCTAACGGAGCAATGCGCCGAGTAAAAATAACAGGCGCTGCCATCGTGCGCTACTACATGTATTTATAAGCGTACGTGATTTTTTTTTCCTCAAACGATCTCTGCCAGACACTGAACGAGTAAACAAAGCTTTTGCACTACCGTCACACATAAGTGACTGGGTTGCGGGCTCTGGCGTTGTTATCGCGACTCGGACAACTTTGTTATCTCGAATGCTTTATTTTCATTATTCGCCCGAGCTTGGAATCACTGCAGCGCATTTTATCATTTCGTACGTTTTGGACGAGATTAGAAAGACGATGATGTAACTTTAGCGATCGGCAAACATTAATAGATGAACACCAAGTGACTGATCAGCTTTCTTAGACGAGGTGTTGAAATATCAGATTTTAAGATGTACCGATCATTGATGGTGATAATTTGCACATTGTAATTTATCACAATATTACCATCTAGGTCACCTTTGAACTTACAGCAGAATTGGATATCTATGTAATGACCTTGTAACAAATCTATAACCATTTCATAAGTATAAGCTAATCCTGGCTGAGGATTTTAAATATACCAATATACGTGACTGGACATATAAAAGAGGTTTACTACTGTAGAAATTGGTTACTATCAAAATATTACAGCTCTTCATATGGCAGTACAGCTTTAACTATTGGTGAATAAGCTAAAATTACAAACACGTATTACCACCACATAATATATATTATATCAAGAAGTGACTGTGATATATATTATATATCAGACAATGAATTGTGTCTTATATTGAATGATTTCAGTCACTTCTTGATCAATGGATATTCTATACAGTACATATACTTACCATTATGATATTAAATGTTCCATAAACGTATCTCAGTTTAGCGCATTCAGTTTATCTAAAAAATCATTTAACTTAGATATGATCAAATTTCTGTCAATACTAAATGACTAAGATCAGTTTTTTGATCAAACACGTTAAAAAAATACCAAAATATAGATAAGATTTTTTAAAAGAAGTTTCACAAAAAAAAGAGAAAAAAAATTCTAGACCAAGTATACGATTATCAATCAAAATTACTTAATATAACCACTGTAAGATGTACCTAGAGAGTAAACATTCTAAGGCCGTTATCATACACAATTCTATCAAGAAACTCATTGCAAACAAAACTATCTTATTTGGGATAAGTTTACTGTTTATACAATCAAATAAACAAAATATTTTAGTAATGTTACATGTTATCTTATAAAATCGTTTGCATAAAATAAAAGGCACAATTAATTTAAATATTTTTTATCATATCTAGTTGTCGGTAGATAGCAAAAACCTCTTGAACATCTCTAAAATAAATAAAAGATTATTTACGTATAATTTAGAATAGTTGTTTATACAACTGCTTCTTATTTTTTAACATTTAAATATAAAATTTACCATCTTTGTATTTACACAAATTTTCAAACAAATATTCGTTCATGNAACAATCCCCGAGTTTTTTTTTTTTTTTTTAAGGTTCCACGAATTTTCTTAGATTTTCTATTCGTCTATATGTTTATCTACAGGTTTTGGACGTTCTGACGTTTTAGGCGGTCTTAGTGACCTCTAGTGGCGGGTTTTATTAATATACGTATAGCCTGTACAAATACGTATCGACGTAATAACATATACCAAGATTTTATCGATTTCATGATATTTTTTAAGCTATTTTTAAATATTACAACTCAATTCATGTACTTTAATAAATTATTTTATTATTCTCAGTTGATTTCAAATTCACTGTATTAAAAATGGTTCAAATAATTTTGCAGACTGAGTAAGTAGTCTCTCCTCCTTTCTTGGTAACCAAGCTTTCTTATCTAATGCGCGTAGCCTGTATTTATTCCATTTGCTTACTAGTTGAATTTGCGTTTGAAATTGCGTCTGTAGAGAGATATAGGTAGGTATGATGATTTATGGTACTGGTGTGATGTAACGCTCGTAGGAAAATCGGCAACGAGGCCGAGTCATTGTGAAATATATATTCAGCGTAACGTCATTATTTTCGACAGTTTTGTTTCATTTGCCTATAGTCGATTGCATCTGGAGATACCCGAAGAAAAGGGATTCGTAGACTTGGTAATGTGGAAGGTCTTATACCATTTAGGGAAAGAACTACTTAAATTTGTCGACGATCCCCCTACTTTGGGAGTGTATACACAAGTCGATCCGGCTTTGACGATTCCCAAAGTCGCGTAACAATTTTCTGATGAAATTTCGATGTTTGTTACGCGTGACTCTTGTTTTTCAAACTGGATGGAGGGACTTTTAATAAAATCATTACACGTATGCCACTGCACAAGGTGAAAAATGCATCTTTTAAAAATCAGTTTATTTGGTTTTGATTACGTATTAGGTGTCCGCGTAATCGTGGGAGACAGACCCAAACAGTTTACTGTACATCGATCCTCAAAAGAGCAGCCACAAAAATTTTTGGAATAAAAATGGTCCGCTGCATTCGTGGAGTCGTCCTTCATCCGAGACTAGCTTTTTTTATTATGTACACGTAAACTCTTCCAATCAAACAATCTGTATATGAGAACAACATATATGTAAAAATATACGCTATTCGAACGTAACTGCGCATCAACGAGACTCTTAGGAAAAAAAGAAGTTATTTTGATCATCAAAAACTCGTTTGTGAATTCTCTGACATCGAGACATGTAATCAAAAAACGTTTGTACGTGACGTAGGCGCAGACGATGGTACTTTATCGTTGAATATTCTTTAACACACGATAACAGCTTCTACTAATAACCGATTATTTATGATAGGTACCGGTATACAGCTAGTGGGGGTGCTTTCAGAACCAAATTAAAGATTTTTATGATAAAGTATAATAAATTACCAAATATGATAAAGTAAACTTTGAAATTATAGGTTGTTAGCTATTTCCCTTAGAGTCTCAGAATCCCTTTGTTTTTTAGAGATTTACATTAACCTGAAATTTATTCTTATTCTTACATTTTTGTAGTAAACTCTTCAATGAATTGAGTCGGTTTCCGAAAAAGACCACTTATTTGATAATTAAAAGTGAGAATTAATATTCCTTAAACATACGTCAATATTTTGTCAACTCACAAAAAACGACTTTTCTTTTATCTGCAACTGACATCTCGATTTTAATTTTTTGTGATTGTAATGAATCGTACAATTATCATGAGTTTCACGTCACAACATTTTATACAGCTTCTTTTTTCAACACTTATGTCATTGTAAGCACGGCTTATCACGCTGTGTGTTTCTTCATAAAAGTCATGCATCAGTTACAAAGTGTTTGTGTCAGTGTTCACATGAGTAATTCCACAAAAATTTCCTGCTAAAAGTTTCCTGAAATTTTACAAAAAATATTGAGACACGTCTTTGGGACAACGATTTTTCATATACCTCACAGAATATGAGGAAAATTAATACAAAATAAGTCTCAATGCATATCTCTTAGTTTGGCTTGTGGCTTAAAATTTTGCTTTTTTCCTACAAAAAACTTACAATTTTTTTTTTATTCTCAGATTATCCAATCTCTTTTTATGGCATTTGTCTCTTAACTTGAGGTTGTTTTTGTGATTTTAAACGCTAATATCATACTCGATCCAGCATCAATTAAATAACTATAATCATCCACGTAAGATGACATTTTCGTACCTTTTTTAATTTATTTTGAATTATTAGTAA